TTTACAGCACTTCTCTGTGCTGAGTGATAATGAGTGGAATTTTACACAATGGATCCACTTTTCTCTTTGGTGTCAGCAGGGGGAAATAGTGAGAAGGGAAAAGGGGGAAAAAACAGGATATTGGGAAAAAAGAGGGGGCTATAATAAGGCAAAAAAATGAGAGGAGGGGGAATGACTGGAAAAGGAAGACAGAGCGATCGCCTATTGACTAAATGAGAACAAATGCATCATTTAATAATTGTAAATCCCACAAACATGGGGTGTAATAGGACTTTCTTTCCTCCCACTGCAGCATTGGTAATGTATCCCCCTCTTTATCCATTCATTTCTACCTCTCTCTTTCGCTGTGTCACCCATCAATCTTTTTCCAATTACCTGCTCTGTCTATCCACAAATCCATCATAATCATTTCCATGGTAACGGGTAGCATCCTCCACTGGCTTTGGCCTATTGTTAAATATAATTGCACACTAAACAGCAGTCTTTAGAAGAAAAAAGGGGGGGAAGCAAAGAAGAGGAGAGTGGATTTGGATATTGTCTCGGCGACTAATGTCTCCCACACGTCTAAAGAGTCAACTTCAGAGCCGATTCAGAGCATTATTTCAACCGTGGTGTTCATTCACCAGACATTTTATTAACCATTATGTGTGCACTGGTTTCATTCTCATGTGACAAAACAACTTCATGGGCCATTTATGTTATAAATAAAGAGTACTGGGCAGTCCATAATTGTTAATAGATGAGACTCTCTTTACAGGCCTGGATGAAGAGATGGTTATCGTTCCGATGAAGAAACCTCCACTATCGTCTGTAAAACTACTTGGAACAATCAAAGTAAAAAGTAAAGATCTACTTCCTTGGGTGTTGTACTGGATGGGGATCTAGTCTTGGACAGGCAGATCAGTGCGGTGACTAAATCTAGCTTTTATCAACTAAGAAGGATCGCCAAAGTAAAGCCCTTGCTGTCAAAAAAAGGATTCTGAAACAGTAATTTGTGCTTTTATTACATCAAGGCTTGACTACTGTAATTCTTTGTACCTTGGTGCTTCACAATCGCACCTCTCGCATCTTCAATTGGTGCAGAATGCTGCTGCACGGCTGCTCACTGGGACGAAAAAGATGGAGCATGTTACTCCTGTCCTGGCCTCACTGCACTGGCTGCCTGTTCGTTTTAGAATCCAGTACAAGGTGCTTATGTGGGCTTTCAAATCTTTGCATGGCCTTGCTCCAGATTACCTCTCTGAGCTACTGGTTATTTATTCCCCTGCACGGTCTCTGAGGTCAGCTGATAGGATGCTCCTGAAAGTCCCAAAAACAAGACTCAAGCTCAGAGGTAGCAGGACTTTGTAGCGGCCCCTAAGCTCCGGAATGCGCTGCCGTTGAGCATTAGGTCGGCCTCTTCACTGTCTGGTTTTAAATCTCTTTTGAAAACCTATTTTTATGATTTGGCTTTTAACTCGGCATGAGAGTCTTTAAGTTGTGTATTGTTTTTGGTGTTTTTAATTTCTGTGAAGCACTTTGGTCCGTTTTATACAGTTGCAAGGTGCTATAAAAATAAAGCTGCCTTTCCTTGCTGAAATTTAACCAATAAAAGTCAGGCATTGCATTTGAATTGTAAACCAACTGAATAATTTTAAAGACCAACTAATGAAAACGGCCTGGGCTAAAATGATGATGTCATTTAGTAACTCTCAATGAGACTTCTGCGCATGTAAATGGGTATTTTGTGACCAAATTCTTCCAATTGCTGCATGGTGGCGCAGTGGTTAGCACTGTTGCCTCGCAACACGAAGGTCGCAGGTTCAAAACTCATCTGTGGCCTTTCTGCGTGGAGTTGCGTGTTCTCCCCATGCATGCGTGGGTTTTCTCCGGGTACTCCGGTTTCCCCCACAGATCACAACATGCCCTATAGGTTAAAAAATAATTGTAAGTCGCTTTGGGTAAAAGCGTCTGCTAAGCACATAAACATAAACATAATTGTGTCAGTTTTAAAGGACTCGTTCTCCAGAGACTTCCGTTCCACCTCCAAATCCAACGTTTGGTTCCGATCCATTCTTGGGTGTTGGGGCTACTTGGAGGACCCATGACCCAAGCGTTCTGACAATAGGCATTTACTCTAGAACAGGGGTCACCAACCGTTGCTAAGCTCAAAGTTACTTCATGAGTAAAGAGTCAAATGAAGGGCTACCAGGTATGACCTTTGAACTGAAATAGATCAGAGTTCAACTAAACTTCATCTATAATAAACATATTTAAATGCTTTTTAAGGTATTTGAATATATATATGTTAATGTAATTGTGATTCAAATATAACAGCAGATATTTTTTTAATTTATGGTCTGAAGGCCCCTTAAATGGTTCCTGGGGGCACCAGGTTGGTGACCCCTGTTCTAAAATGTGTTGAAATTTCCTAGGACCCTATCACTGCAGCAGAGCAACCACTGAATCCTCGATATGTCACAGTGTTACATGCTTTTATGCATTTTTTTTTTGTACTTGAACAAAGAGTGGATGTGGTTTACCAAAAACTCAAGTTTGGTCTCATCAGTACAAAATATATTCTCCCAGATATTTTTGGAATGTGTTCAAATGCATTTAGGTGAATGCTGATCTGATCTTTTCTGGTTTGTTTTCATCAGTAATGTCAACCTTTGTCATATTACAGTGAACGGTGCGATCGAACGGTACCTTGACCTCGGAGTTCACCTGTAATCTCTTTGGGATTTTTTTCTGGACTTTTTGTTCTGGTACCACATCCAGGGAGGGTTTCTAATGTCCTGTGCACCCTAAACATCTGAATAGTGTGTGCAGCTGTAGTCAGAAGAACACCAAGCTGCTCTTCCAGCGTTTTCCTTTACCATGCTGTACAATAAATGTTCTTTGAATTTTTGACACATCAGTCTCCTTAGCTTCCTGAGGTCCATGTTCAGTGTTGCACGCACCCTGGTACCAAACAGCACTGTGACTACTGCTTAAATAGGCAGACTGACGACACCTGTGATGCTAATTAATGATTAGCCTATTTAGAGATTCAATCAATGTATTCCTGTGGTCAAATTACAATGAACAATTTCTCCAGGAACTATTGTTTTTGTCAAATCAAGCTTATTTTTTTTAATAAAAAGTATTTTGTTTACCCACAATTTACTAAAAATGTCTGGTTTTCACTTGTTGATCATCAAGAACATTTTATTTGTTTTCATTTCTTTCAAAGAACCATTTTAGTTATGTGTGTTTTTGTTAGGATCAAACAAACATCAGAATGTTTGAAATTATATGTTTGAGGTTTTATTTCACTACATTTTTTCAGATGAAACCTAAACGAGCCATAAAAGTATCATAAGTAATCATATACCAGTAAAACCAGTATCAGCAGTAAAACCCACATAAGGTTTCAGCATTCAAAATGTATGTATGTGTGGTAAAGTTGATGTGTGATTATTCAAAACACACAAACCACCTAATTAGATTAAAACGGTGACATTCTGGAGTAGCCTCGAGGTAATGAGCCAGTCCAAAGCCTTTGTTTCCTGCTGTGGGAACAACCTCCATCTGCATGCTTGCAACCATTCAGGTGAATGTGTATTTGCTGACCTGGAGTAATTGATATTTATGGAGCACACAGTGGTGTGAATTTAATTAGCAAAACAATAACTTTGTTACTCACGAGGCAAAAGTGGTTCCACTTACTATACCGGTGTAAAATGCTTACATTTAAAAGGCCTTGATGTCTTCTATGAAGGCTGAAAGCAAATATTTAAACAAAATAACAGTAAAAACTCAGGATCACCACTGCATAATCCATTTATTTTGTTGCTTTCATGTTTTCTTTCTGCTGTTCTCTGGCTAACAGCCATTATTTCCAGCAATACATGATGTTGCACCACATGAGAGCAGATCTTGCAGCTATACCTGCATGACATGCTGATTGGACTCTGAAGAGGTTTGCTGGGATGGTTAGTGTCAAGCATCCTTCTCAACCTCCCCTCTGTCCACAGAATCACTATTCTCTCTCTCTCTCTCTCTCTCTCTCTCTCTCTCTCTCTCTCTCTCTCTCTCTCTCTCTCTCTCTCTCTCTCTCTCTCTCTCTCTCTCTCTCTCTCTCTCTCTCTCTGCCTGCTGAGCTGTAATGAGTCAAACAGATGGGTAGGTAAACAGGAAGCTATATTCTGGCATTTTAAAATAAAAGCCGACAAGAATGGATTTAACTTCAGAGTTTTGCAGAATCAGCAAGAATACCTGCACGTGAATAAAAAGAAATACTATTTATTTACTCCAAATATTTGGTGGAGATAGAAGTGTTAACAGTTTCTGTTAATATAATTTGAGTAGCTGAACATAAATATTTCAGGAGAAAGATGGCACCGTTTATGAGGTTACTCTTGAGAAATGTCAAGGATTGCAGAAAAGAGTAAGAGTGGAAGAGATAGATTATTAGTATTAACTGCCTTTATTGCTTATTGCATTGAATCATCACAGAGTCAAATGTGTAGATTTATTCCTGAAAAACATTATTCATCACATATTTTGCCAGTTAAATTAACTACTTTTCTAAAACTAAAGAATTTCAATTGTGCTGTCACGTTGATTTTAATGTTCTTGATATTCTTGCTAATTGGAAAGCACATTGAACTGCTTATGTGTTTGAAATGTGCTATACAAATAAAGCTGACTTGCCCATCACTCTATGATCTAAGAATGAACAACATGAATACATGAATTAAAAAAAATTAAAGTAAATAAATAAGTAAAAAGTTAGAATGTACTTTGAGCAAGTCTGGGCATGATTTTTTATTTATAGTCTTAATTGAATGAGAATTTCATCAAAAACAGATGTAACGAACTTGCTGTACGACTTAAATTTTTTATTGGGCTAAATTTTCTGTAAATGTGCGTAAATCCCCTTTTTGTTAATTATTTTATTTTGAAGGCAAGAACAGGACATGTAGCTGCTGAACGCGCTCGCGCGCGCGCGTGTTTCTGAAGTGTGTTTTCAGCTTCCTGCTGTGTGTGTGGCTCGGTGTCCGCACACCGACTGTCTCGTCAGTGTTGATCGGCGCGCCATGGCGGAAGGACGCAGAGAACAACCGCCTCATCCTCTTCTCTCCTTACCTCCGGCCAGCAAACGAGCCTGCTTTCGTCCTGCACCCCGAGGTCCCGGTCCGGGGCCCGGCCACGGGAGCGGGTTGCCCGGCTCCCGGTATCGTTCTCCGGAGTCTCTTTTGGACTGCGCCGCTAAGGCAGTAGCGGATAAGTGGGCCTTTGAGAGGGTAGAGGAGCGCTTCGAGCGGATCCCGGAGCCCGTTCAGCGGCGTATCGTGTACTGGTCTTTTCCCCGGAACGAAAAGGAGATATGCATGTACTCTTCGTTTCAGTGCCGAGTCAGCGGCGAGGAAGGTCCGTCCGCGGCGGCCAGTGGGGCTGGGGTCACGGGGTCCGGATCTACAACCGCTGGTGGCGGCGGCGGCGGCGGATCTGCCTCTGGTACCTCGGCTACCGTGGGCTCAGCCGGAGCCGTGGGAACGGGAGACGGACTACCTTTCCGCCGGGGAATCAGACTCCTCGAAACCGGCTGTGTGGAAAACGTTTTACAAGTCGGTAAGTGGACTATTTTCTAACCGAAGCCCGTTTTAGCTTGCGCAAACACCGTGTTCTGTTTCCGAGTTCCTGCTGCTGCTGGAGCTGCTCTGGGAATGATTGATGGAAGTTTTTCCTGCTATCGTGGAAAGTATGTAAAGCGTCTACTTTCAGCGAATTTGTGACCGAAAAATGTTCTGCTTGAGTTTTAGTTTAACAGACTTAGGAAAAAGTCATGTTCTGTTGGATTCACGCCTTTTTTCAGCTTCAGATCAGAGTAAAGCGAAGCCACGGTGATGTTGCGCGCTAGCCTAGCCGACCAGCTGCTGTTTAAAAATTAAAGGGCTTCCTGCTCGCTAGGTGTACCGCTGAATGTTGCGTTTTCTGTCATTCGCCGTTCAATATTTAGAAGTGGGACTTCAGTTATCATTAATTTATTCTCAGTGGAAGTGTGCGCACTTCTCTTCCTCTCCGGAGCCGCTCGGTCGGTCAGGATGGCTGTAGCCCGTCACCCCGCTGTTGGGTCTGGTGGAGGCGCGGAGCAGGAGGGCTGACAGACGCGCATACAAAAGGAACCAACGTTCAAGCGTCGGGGCTTTATTTTTGTTTGCGGTGATTCCCCCATTGCATTTTTTTTCCTGAGCCCAACTTCGGTTGAGTTGAGGCTTAGGAAAAACAAAACAAAGGCGGTTATTGAGTCTCTTATTACGATTAATCCAATGTTAATCCGAAAAAATCCCCTGTGTTTTTTTCCCTTCTTTATTTTTTTTGTTTGATTGGGTCTGACCGGACAAAGAGCGCGTCGCTACCAGGATGAAACACGCTCATTTGGAGTTATTATGTTGTTATAATTAAAGTTAAAACCGGGGAAGCTGCGATATTTGCCTGAATCGGAGCGTTTGCCCTCAGCCCCTCAGAGTCGCTTGCAACACAAAGGGTTTCCAGTTGAAATGATCGATAAGCGTCTCGCATTTCCAGCGCTGCAGAGAGAGAGAGAGAGAGGGAGAGAGAGAAGGCTGCTTTCAAACAAAGGGCCATTCCGCAAAGCTCCATCTATTCTGCTGCGGGCACAGACTGAGCCCCGACATCAGGAAAATCCAGTGGAATGAACCCCACATTTAGTCCAAACGGTGTTCCTGATGTGACCAGGAGGAGTACTCTGCAGCCATATGGTGCCAGCTTTTCTAGGGGTTTCATGTTGCTCAGATGCATCAGGGGGGTAGAAGCTTCAAACTGTGTCCGCCGCTTTTCTCCGCGACTGCTGTATCTAATTGCATCTTATAGATGCTCATTGATCCCACCCCCACAGCAAAGGGAAATCCAAGACTTCAGAGAATGAGTGTAATGTTTGCTCTGGGATGTATATGTTACAGCCTGGTTTAAATTTTGCAAGTTTAATTTTTTGGGTGTTTTGGTTTAAGGTCATAAATTGGTGCCATTTAAGTAATTAAATGGGAGTGTAGGGAAACAGGGTTGTCCTTTCATGTAATCACACTTCGTATTAAAACAAGTAAATTTGATCAAAACTGTTTTCAACAACAGTGAACACTCTTTGTTTGTCTTATAAGAATTTGTTAAAAGGACAGATGGCATTTATAACCAACATTTTAAACGGTGTTTATAAATCGACTTGGAAAACGATGACCATGATAGCAGCTGTGTGTGGAATTCTGATCCATTTTTGCTGGTTTAAAAAAACACAGTCACAATTTGTCACAACATCAGCAGTCTGCATCCACTCAGCTGAGATGATGGTTGGTGTAATTGTGCGCTCCCAATTTGAATTTTCCGAACAGGAAATGACGAAACGGGCTCGTTTTGCATTTCAGCTTCCAACTCGGAAAAAAATGGATGCCACCAGCGTTGTTGACTAAACCAAAAGAATTATTAAACCAAGTATTCTCTGCATCTAAATAATAGTGACACACGCGCCCTTTGACAGTTGCTTCATACAACCAGAAAAAACAATACAAATGAAATGTAAAAATAGAAACACCAGGAGAAGTAAAAACTATAATCACCAGTCAATTTTGGGGGCAATGTTACATTTTTCAACAATGTAACTATTGATAACAACAATAAACAACTTACTGTTTGCTGTTAAATAGCAAATCGAAAGATGATTACTGCTCCTTGGTATGGGTGCAGCCATCTTTAAATTTGCGACCTCAGGGTCCTCTGAAACCCCGTCTTCTGAATTGCTGCTGATTGTTTTTGCGTGCTCCCCCCGCCTGTCTCCCGTTTTATTCTTATATATTTTTAATGACTTTGCACCAAAATGCCAGAACAATTCCTACTATTGTGTATCTATTTGGCAATAAAGTTGTTCACTTCAAATCATGATAATCGTGTTCTGCAACTGCCCATTTGATTTCTTATTAAAGCATTTTTTTTCCTTAAGTTAAGCAGAGTAAAGATGCAAGTACAGTGATCCCTCGCTACTTCGCGGTTCGCTTATCGCGGATTCACGACTTCGCAGATTTTTTCTTTGGAGCCTTATTCAAGGGAAATTTGCCGATTCGCGGTATTTTTCTATGCGAAATATCAAGAAATTCCAGTTTTTTTCATCAATTTCATCATAAAATGCACTTTTTGTAATAAAACTATAAAAAAAAAAACAAGTAAAAATACAATACTATGTAAAGGGAGGGTTTTAAAAGTCTGAATACTGAATACGTACCTGTTAAATAAATACTGTATATAAGGTGTCCCTACTTCGCGGAAACTCACCTATCGCGGCCAGGGCTGGAACGTATCTACCGCGATAAACGAGGAATCACTGTAGGAGGTTATAAACATGGCTGCTGAGTAATAACCAATCAAATGAATAACTGAGCGCACTGTTGTCCGAAGGAACAAGCAACAAGTAAGGAGGCTTCTAGCGTGGCGGTGGCGCCCACGCCGGTGATGACGACGCAATCCCAAACCCTATTGGTTGCCAATGTCCTTTAGCCTGCCTCATTCTCCCAATGAAATGGTTTCTTTCCTTTGCCCCAGCAAAGACCTTTTACCATATTATTCCAAGTCTGACGTAATTCACACCGAAACTAGAGTCTCATTTCGACCAACATTTTAGCCATGGAATGGGGAGGACTGGCTTGTTAAATTTTCTGTCCTCATCATAAAACTGATCCAGACAACCGGCCCGGACAGCGCCAGCCATCAGACTTTTTTGGCCCCCTTCTGTTATAGGTCATGAATTTCTGGAGCTGTATGGTTAGGCCGGAGCAACAACACAGAACCCTGGCAAGCCAGACTAAAATACAGTTCTCGGTCATGGGGCGGGTTCTGCCGTTGTCTATCAAACAATCTCCTCATGCTACTGGACAATGAACTCACTCACCGCCACGGATGTCTGTAAACAAGGCAGTCTGCTGTTGAAAAAGGCGAAAATGCATCCTGTTTCTAAATAAAGGACTTGAATACATCTATCTGATCCTGATAATAAAGCCCAAGTCCAAATAGTCCAAAATTGATGTAAAAGCCATTTCAAATGAGCTGTCCACTGATTGAGGACAGAAATACGTCACTACTTGCAACAAGCATAAAAAAACAGAGTTCCATTGTTTGTGTTTTCATTAGTTGTATACGAATGTGAGAAAATGCCAGCAAGAAGCTGCAAGTTTTAGTCACCTTTAGAGCTCCATACATCTTCACAGTCATTGCGAGAGTCCACAGTCAGTAGGAGCTAGAAGGATCGGTAACCAAGGAAGTCTTTTTTTTCCTGGTGATGCGTTAAAACAATTATACGAACATGATGGGAATTAAGTTTTGCACCCAAAGTGGACATTTGTCCTCTTGGACATAGATCTGCTGAAAATGAAACCGTTACAACGAAGCACACACCTGTAAGCAGACACTTGGTGTTACCAGGTCCACTGGAGAATAGTTCCCTGAAGGCTCTTTATGTTGAAGATGAGTTGATTTAACATATGATTATATTTTATTTAGCTAACCAAACTCGCAGAGGTACACCAATGAAGCATCATGGTGCGTGGTGTGGATGACCGTTTTAAAGCAGATTTTACCTGAGATAATAAGTGCTGAGATAAAGACGAGTCATCAGAGTAGATGTTTTTTTAAGAGGCATGTTGGTGTGTGGTGGTCAGTTTCAGGTCAGAAATGGCAGCGAGGATGTCGTGCATTCAGCTGTTAAATGTTGCTATTTGAATGTAAATATTGTAGATTTGGCCCAATCTAACTGAAGAATTTAGACTCTTCCCAGTCAAGAGGACGTCACTATGTTGTCTGTATCAGTTTGACATGGCTGATGTGTTCTTGTGACCTTTGGAGAGCAAAAATCAGCTGTTTGCTTTTGTTTGGAGCAGCATAGATGCGATGAACACACAGGATAGGCTATCATGGGTTATTTTCTTAATTTTCCTCACAGCTATCACAAGCAGAACAGGAGCTCCTGTTGCCGTAAACCCATGCCCACCTTTTGACTTGTTTTTTTTGTTTTTTTTTTTTGTTCTGGTGTCCCGGAACCGGTGCTCGTAGCAAGATTCTGAGTCTTTCTTGATTTACGTTTCTTTTCTGGGACTTATAAACCGATCGGGATCTGGTGTTCACATTTTACTCAAGATAAGTAATAATGAAATAAAAAAATAACTATAGCAATTCGTTGGTCTTCAAACCTGCCTTGGTGTGTGTAAACTTGAAAGAAACGAGTTGACTGTTACCGATGCCCGTGTCCTTTGTGCATTACGGTTAAAGGTCCTCATGTCACCTCCTTTAACAGTAACACTGACAGATTGAAAGGATTTGAGCTCATCAACATCTCATCGGCTCATGTGCTTGTAATAATCTATTCCCCGCCTCGAGTCATAATTAAAATAATCAAAGCAAAGCATGATTGTTTTTGTCACATGGTACACACGCACGCACACACACACACACACACTCACACACACACACACACACACACACACACACACACACACACACACACACACACACACACACACACACACACACACCCTTCCTAGAGATTTTATAAAGAGAGCAGGAGGAAAGGATCT